TCAGTACACTGGGAGCTTACAGAGAGTTAGTATTAACGTACATTGAGGTTACTAGCTTGAAGTATAAATGCGATCAAATTACGTCGACGACGCAGGTGCAATGTTCGCTAGTTGCTGTATGTAGGCGTGCCGCAGTCACTTGATGAGGAGCAGGTGTGCCGCATTACAACGTGCCGCGGACGGTGTGCCGTGTTGTCAAGCAGACATTCAAGAAAGGTAATTACCAATATTGCTAGTTATCCTCATTTGTGCATATGTGAATCTCTGGAATCATCCGTGTGTACCTACGACAGGAGTCTTCACAACCAGCGTTCAGACTAGAGATCAGCCAGCAAGCAGAAGATGTTAACCAATATGCTTCAGAGTTTCGTTTTGAGATCAAGTTTTATCAGTGGAACACTTTATTTTAGAAAGTGTCCATTCTCAATCAGCAGTAATCAACAATTCACTTATTGTGAATTGATGTATCTTCAGTTCAGATCAAGTCTATTATTCAGTATTAATATACTGAATTTTCAAGTCATCAGTAAGTAAGCTTTAAAGTTAAGCTTGTACATTCCAGTTTTAGTATTTCCGAGGACGGAAATATTTTAAGGGGGTGGATTGCAACGCCCCGTATTTTTATTAATAAAGGAAATACTAGCTTTTAGTTTTTAAGCTAGCCTTTGTTAATAAATAATCATGTTCATGTTCAAGTTCAGGTTAATCGGTCAGTCATATTCCAAGTTCAACTGTTAGTCGATAAATTATTCAGTATAATTAGTCAGTAACCGAATAAGTTACCATATTTAATTCCAATTCATCTTTATAATAAATAAGTTTAGAATTAATGAGGTTAAATCGAGGTTATATTCGAATTAATTTTCGAAGTCACGTTTATGCTCGGAACTAATTATTTAAGTTCAAGTTCATGTTAATACTTAGAATATTTTCTAAGTATTTGAAGGCAAGCACGCATCATTAATAAGCTTAATTGAGGTTAGTACCGAAAATATTTTTATAGCCTAAGTATAGTGGTCATTAGATTACCACCAATTGTGCTTAATTTGGCTTGAGCTATGTTCAAATTGCCGTAAGTATTGGGGACAATCTTTACGTGAATATCATAATTTCACTAGCATATGTGGAGACTTATGAGGTGATGACTAATCAAGGGAAAAGGTGAGTAAGCATGTATCTAGCAATCTAAACCCCTTCATGTGCGGCAAGTGTTAAGAGCCCATTGGCCACAATATTTTTATCTTATTTCACACTATTTCACCTTCCTTTATTTATAGCAATTGTACCGTAAGTTGGAGACTTCAGCAGAGTGTTCTTAAGTTGTTGATTAAAGAGTTTATTATATCAATAAGACTAAGCAAGTTTTGGAGAAGAAATACAGCACGCATGTACGGCTCCGAC